ACCTGGTTAGAGACCCCTCGTTCGTGGGCAGTCCTCACTTCTCCTCCATGCAGTGGCTGCTGGGACCGGCCAGCCAGCAAGACCGGCGGTCAGTACCCGGTCAGTGTCCAGAAAGCAGGGAGCAGGGTAGAGGGCAAGGCTCCAGGCCAGCCTTTCCCCAGGGGTGGCCTGGGGGTTGGGCAGCGGCCCGGACAGCACAGGCGACACTCACCTTGCCAAAGCTGTCTGCGTACTCCCGGTACTCAGAGGACATCTCCTGCACGGAAGGGCAGGGGGTTGAGGGGCCTTGCCCTCCAGATGCAACCAACCCCAGGACACCAAAGCTTGCTGTCCTAGTGCCCACTGAGGGGCAAGGGTGGGGTAGGCGATCCCTTCCTCCCAGCTCTGGGACCTTGGGGATTCCGCTCTGGCCCCCAAAGACTCACCTGGCTGCTGTGATGGGCCTTGGTCACGAGCAGCATGCGGCCAACGAGGTCTGTGGTGGACACCCCCTGGGTGCGCTTGCATTCTCTGGGAAAAGAGTTGGGGGTGGGGCTCTCATCCTGGGACACACCTGCAAGGCTGCACCTCCTACGGGCACCTAAGTTGCCCCACCTAAGGGCAACTCTGCTTGTGGCTGAGTCTACCGTGGTCCAGCCCCCAGCCATGCTGTGCACAGACCTGGGCTTCTCCTCGCCACTCTCAGCCACAACAAAAAACCAAGACCAGGAGAGTGAAGGGACCACTGAGATTTTATCAACCAAAGGAAATGACTGGACAGATCGCTGTCACTAGGCCCCAAGTTCGCAGTGTCGGGGTGAGCAGGCCATACAGGGTGGCTCTGGTCCTGTTTTGTCCACTGACACCCAGGTCCTGCCTCACCACACACTCCCTGCCAAGGGAACCCCAGGCTTCACTGCCCCACTCGAGCCGCTGGCCACACTGGTCTTTTCAATTAAAGTGACTCAAATAAAAGCCAGCTCCCCAGTCACACCTCATGTTTCCCCTGCTTAGCAGCTGCTCGTAGCCAGTGGCTACCATACTGGGCGATGCAGATGTATGGCACCCCCAGCTCCAGTCCAGGCCACAAGAAACAGGCCGCGGCCCGGACACTGCCCTCACAGGCAGAAGGAGCTCGATGGGAGCTGGGAGCCCTGCTCCTCGAAAAGCGGGGCACTCAGCAAGTAGAGCTTACCTGTACCTCCCAGCCTGCTTCACTTCCTCGTAGGTATCCCGGCCATCTACAGTCAGCGTGATATCATCTAAGGGGTGACACGCACACGAGAACAAGGATCTTAACCCAAAGCCATGAAGACCTCCAGGCCCATACCCCGGCTCCAGGCCTGTCCTGGTGTGCATGTGCTCCTTTCTGGGGAAGGACCTAGAGCTTCCTCAGACCCTCAAAAGCTCTGTGCTCCCCAAAGTGTGAGGAGGCCAGCACCTCTGGACGCCCCTCTGATGGTCAGGTCTGGAGCTGCCCAATTCCCCTGCCCCGGGGGCTCTGCCCTGCCGACTCACTGCCGTGGACGCAGAAGTCGCAGCTGTACTTGTCCAGCGTCTCCAGCGTGGTGACATAGGGGGCTGCTGGCACCACCTCGTCCACCCACTTGATGGCCTGCACCATCTTGTACCTTTCCTCCTGAGTGAACACCGGGGGCCCCTTGTGCTTGGCGATCTCCTCTAGGGAGAGAGAAGAGGGCAAAGGACAAGGTGGGTGACCCCTGGAAGGCTGGCCACAGGCTCACTGGCTCCTCCTCAGAAGTCCCCTCCCAGAATCGAGCAGGGTCTGCGGCCACATGAGGGCTCACGGTGGGAGGCTGTCTCTCATCGGGCCCTCAGCCCACGAGGCAGGACCACAAGGAGCAGCCCTGCTCTGTCCTCTGTGAGCCGGTACAGGCGCTGCGGATGCACGTGCTGGGTAACTGCACACCCCTCACCCCCAGCCAACCAGAGTTCCAGGTACGGTCCGGGGTTCCCTTTTTTTTTTTTTTAATTTATTTGTTTTCATTTATTTTTGGCTGCGTTGGGTTTTCATTGCTGCACGTGGGCCTTCTCTAGTTGCGGTGAGCGGGGGCCACTCTTCATTGTGGTGCGCGGGCTTCTCATTGCGGTGGCCTCTCCTGCTGTGGAGCACGGGCTCTAGGCTCGCAGGCTTCAGCAGTTGCGGCATGCGGGCCCAGCAGTTGTGGCTCGCGGGCTCCAGAGCGCAGGCTCAGCAGCCGTCGCGCACGGGCCCAGTTGCTCCGCGGCATGTGGGATCCTCCCGGACCAGGGCTCAAACCCATGTCCCCTGCATTGGCAGGCGGACTCCCAACCACTGCACCACCAGGGAAGCCCCGGGGTTCCCTTTTGATGGCTGGGTGCTCTGTCCTCTAAGGCCCTGGGAACCAGGAAGCGGGTAGGAAGTGGGCGGCATACCTGGACTGATCCACTGGACCACCCCTGCCCCTCAAGCTCACGATAGGATGCAAGACGGGAAAGCTCTAGATGGCTTGGCCTGGGCCAGGGTTGGGGCGAGCCTGTGGAGCTGCACTTCTAGGGAGGACGGCTGGGCCTGGCCCTACCCACCACGGGGACCTGTGGCGTCTGTCACGGGTGTGGGGGAGGAGGATGGGCCTGGCAGCCCGGCTTACCGTCAGTGTGTACACCCACGATGAGGTGGTCACCCATGGCCCGTGCCTGGCGCAGCTGGTTGGAGTGGCCATAATGTACCATGTCATAGCTGTGGAGAGGGCGGGGCCATCATCCCAGTGTTGGGGGTGCAGTCTTGCTCCTCTGCAGTGTCCTTAGGAAGCCCTCTGAGAAGCCACCATGGGGAACTGCTCCCAGGGTCCGGTTGGGTCTGGGCTTTCAGAGGGGCGGGGTGCTCAGCTCTCCACATTACTGGTCCCTGGGCTCAAGGTCAGACTGAGCGAGCCTGGGGACAAGGCCTGGCGGACCTGAGGACTGGTGAGTGCACAGAACAGCCCCTGCTCCCCACACCTGGGACAGCACTCTGCCCTCAGCCCCTCCCCTTCCCAAATACAAACTGTCACGGGCAGTCCCTTTGAGAGGTAATAGAAACCAATGTTAGTTCAGGGGTGGACTGGGCTCTGTACTACCATGAAACAGCCAGACAGTCCCAGGGGCCAAGACGAAACAAAGTCCAGCCAATGAACAAGGGCAGTCACTGGCTTTAGAAATCCTGCCTGCTCCCCAAGGCCTCTGGAAACTCAGTGAAGCCAACAACCACCTCCCTATCACCTGGTTCTAGAGCTTTCATCCTCAAATCCAGGCCTGGTTAAGAGTGAACTCTCAGCTGAAAGCCACACACAGCACCACAGCTCCGCTCGGGTTGCCATGTGTGGCGGTGGGGACATCCACTTCTCTGCGGGCCCTGAGGTGTGCCCTCATTCTCACTCTGCTTCTTCCCAGCCTTGTATTGCCCTCTGAGTAGGTGGAGCTGTCCCTGCTTCTCCAGGTGACCCAGGTGTACAAAACCATTCTACTCAGCGCCACCTGCTAGCCCCACCCCAGAACACCAGGCCCCAGCAGACAAGCCTGTGGGGCACAGGGCTCTGGTCCTGGGCTAAGGGAAGAGGGAAGTCCAAATTCAGGAGCCTGGCAGGCCCTTGTGCCCACTGGACAGGCTGGGCAGAAGGAGGGTGCACGGCACAGAATGCAGGGTGGACCTGGGTCCAGGCTGTATCCCAGTCACTGTGGCCTGTGGCTGTGGCCTGCTGGGGCAGGGTCCAGGCCTGGTCAGGGCCAAGGTCAGAGTCAACGGACAGGAAGCCACGCCCCCTCCACAAGGTGACTCAGGTGCAGGCCCAGGAGTATGGCAGCCCCACTTGCTGGCCGCTGAAGCCCTGGGCTAGCCAGATGTTTTTCTTTCTCTGCTTCCATCAAATAAGGTCTGAGGAAGCATCCAAGACGTCAACTTATCACTAGAGGTTCACTTTCCTCCTGTCTGCTGACGGCCTCAAACCTATCTCAACACCACTCCAGTTGTCTGGCTTGCCAGAAAAGAGGACAGTTGGGCACTGTAGCCCTCCTCAGATGGACCCAGGAGCCTGGGGGCTTCACTAGGGTCTTACGCAGATCGGGCAATGCCTGCGCTGACGCCTGCCCAGATACCTAGGAGAACCTTCCTGGTTTTGTGCCGGCAAGCTGGGAGCCGGAGAAGGAGAACTCTGGGAAGACATTTTGGGTGCACGGCTCCTCCGGAGAAAAAGAGCTCCTAGGGCACTGAAATGATTAAAGTCACTAAGGTTAGACACGCAACTTTGGCTACTATCGTGCACGAGTTAGGCAGGTGGGACCGCCTGGCTGGGTCTCCGGCTTAAAGGCAAACGTGAGAGAAGGAGCGTCCGGGGAAGGCGCTCATGTAGGGATCCGCAGAAAGACTCCAGCAACCCTCAGACGCGCTGCCCGCGGCGACGCGGTGGCCCGGGTTCCAGGCGTCCTACGCGGCCAAGGCGCCGCCCGCCCCGTACTAGCCGGCCGCCCGACCCCGGCGAAGGCGACCACAGCTGTCACCGCGGCCCCGCCCGTGCCCCCCGCCCCCCACCGCGCTCACCAGCCGTCGCACCACACCCGCACGGCACGCCTGCCCCCTGGGCCCGGCCGCTCGTCACCGCCTGCCTCCCCGTGCCCGTTCCGGATCATGGCCCCGAACCGGCGGCGCGGCACGGCCGGCTCCCCACTCCCAGCCGCCGCAGCTCGCGCACGGACGCGCCGTCACGCGGGCCTCACCCGCCTCTCACAGCCAATGCCGAGCGCCGCTCCGCCCCGCGCGCGGAGCCCCGCCCCCTCACCTCCCTCGCGCGGCCAATGGCGAGCCCCGCCCGGGCAGGGCCCCCCCCCCCCCCCCCCCCCCCCCCGGCTCCCGGCCAATGGCCTGCGCCACCAGCCCTCAGCTCCCACCTGGAGCGGCGGTTGGGGCAGGACCACGTGGGGCGCATCCGCCCCTCCAGGAGTCTCGCCAGGCGCCCGCTCTCACCCACCGCTTCAGAAAGGCAGTCACTCGGTGACACGAGGAAGACAGTGCAGAGATGTTTAATAACAATAAAAAGGCCTGCTGAGAGCCAAGGCTCAAAAACCACTCCTTTGCAGCATAGCCAATACAGAAAAAGGCTTCTATAAATTTAACATTTTTAGTAAGAAGTGGTAGAAATAGAGTTGAGGCCCCTGAGACTAGCCTAGTGAATGAGGTAAGGCAGCCGTGTGCTTCCTCTTTGCGGCCAGGTGTGAAATAACACGAGTCCTGTTTTCACAGAGGGTGTGGCTGCCACCTCTTTAGAAGAGGCTGCTTGGGTGAGGTGTCCTCCATCATTAGGCCCATGCCCGGGGGTGTGGGCAACCACAGCAGTGCAAGGGAGCTTTCCACAATGACAAATGGCTAAACATGTCAGGGTGAAAATGTCACCCCCACAGAATTCCAGGGGCAGTCCTGGCCTTAACAGGGCCACTTGCCCCTGAAGAAGAGTCCCGGCCATTTGCAAAGTGCCATCATTGTTCTCGGTCATGCAACAGGTTACGTCACTTTCTTCCTTTTTGTGCGCTTGGTGCAGCCCCTGCCAAACCAGCCGCCCAGGACAGGGGCTGAGCTAAGTGGTGCACCCCGGTCCCCAGGCCCAGGTTCTTCTCGACTTCTGCACAGCGACTTGCGACTGTGGCTGCCTTCTTCACCCGCACGCAGGGGAGTGGCCAGCGAGAAGATGGGGTCCTGCCACCTACGCAAAGGGAAAGCTGGGTCAGGCGTGCCTGGGAGCCCCTCACAATCACAACCCGCCCCAGGACGGGAAAGCTGACTGAGGTCACCCTGCATCCCTCCCATGTCTTAACCATGGCTGGGCTTTGCTCAGTGGTAGCTCCACAACATCTGCGAGAGGGGTAAGCTCCACAAGTAACTCAAAGGCCAGCACCCAGACTAGCCCAGCCTCTGCAGAACTCAGTCCTCGTCGGTGATTGAGGGGGCTGTACACACATGGGGTAGGGCGGCAGTAGCCCCAGAAAGGGTGAGTCACTAGCCAACTCTGGGCCCCACCTTTCACTTGTACGGCCAGGGACAGGTAGACCAGACCCTCTTCCCCTTCCCAGACTGCAGGACTTGATGGGAGGGAAGCTGACTAGGGAGGCGCGGCCTAAACACTACACCGTGAAGAGATCATGTGTCTGACTGAGATGTAGAACCACATATCATAAACTTAATATACAGATAAGCACTGATAAAGAAAATGAGCTAAGTTAATGTGAAAAAAAAAAAAAAAAGTACAGTACACAACAGGCCCACATTACAGAACACCACAAACATAACATACAAGAATTGCCAGGCCCAGAAGGTGAAGGGATCCTTAATTCTCCAACCCTTTGATTAAAAGAAGTTATTGATTTCCCCTATAAGACCCTGAAAATTCACAGAGAAAGAAAGTGTAAACTTTTCACTCAATACACACACCACATCTCAATTATCACAAATTCTGTATTCAGGCACAATTTGTTTAAGCTTCCCCAAAGTATTCCAGCTCCCCAAGCCAGTGCACCCAGATCCTGATGAGCAGAGTTGCTGAGAGCACATCCCTTCAAGGCACCTTCCCGTCCAGGCTGCCTAAGGTGAAGGGGGACATGTAGGTGTGCCCTGGCAGATTCCCTCTCCCCGCAGGAATCACGCCAGCCAGGACACCTCAGCCAATGCTGGGGCTGGTCCCTGCAGAGGCCACCACACTGCAGTCACGCCTCAGATGCCATCTGCCACAGCTCAGAGCTTTCTCTACACTCAGCTCACAAAAGACAACAGACACAACCCATCCACACAGGGGCAGGGAAGTGGGGGATGTGTCTGTGCCCCCTCACCTGCTGTAGCGGGGGATCTCCAGGCCCAGCTCATCCATGAGGAGCCGCATGACCTCATCACACTTTCCGTGCAGCTTCAGGGCAGCCCAGTCATCCTTCGGGGTCCACTGGGGACAGGAGAAGGTAAGTGAGGACAGCACCTCACTCCTTCCCAATGGCCTGCTGGCCTTGGCCCCTACTCAGCCAGACCTCGTGGTGCATTAGTGTGGGACATAAATGTCCCAGGGACTGCTGGCTCTCCTAAGGCCCACGTCTAAGGAGGCACCTCTGAGCACCTGAGTTACCTGCAAGTTCACAATGTAGAGCTTGGGCCGCCGGCTGGGGGGCTTGGTCATGCACCAGAGGTGTGGATACTTCTTTAGAACCTGCGGGAATGGACGGATGGACAGACAGACCACACACACACACACACCAGGGAAGGAGGCTACAGGAAGCTGGGGTCTAAGGCTGAGCTGGCCAACTGCAGGCAGGCTCACCCCTGTTCCCATCCACAGTGCCATCTGCATACCTTTAAGCTGGAGCCTAAGCACAGGATTGTGTCTGCTCTGCTGGCAGCCTGGGTGGCCGCCTCCCAGTTCAGAGGCTGTCCCAATGTCCCCCTCTCCCCAAAGTGCACGATGGTGTCCCGGAGCTGGGCCCCGCACTTGTGGCAGGTGCGGCCGGTCTGGTGTCGGTGCAGGGCGGTGCGCTCCGTCACATCAAACACCCGCACATACTCCCTGTTGGGAGTGCAGGCTGTGCAGACCTGAGGAGAGTAGGGCCCTGTGAGCAGGAGCCACTGGCCTGCCCAGGCCCCCGAGTCCCAGAGGGACCGCTCACTTCGATATACATGTTCCCGTGGAGCTCCGACATGGCTGTGCGAGGCAGCCCGCTCCGCAGGTGGAGCCCGTCACAGTTCTGAGACACCACGTGCTGCACCTGGAAGGGCGACAGTGGCAGTCAGCAGGAGGAAGGGGGGAAGCAGCACTCAGGAGTGAAACCATACCGAGCTCTGCCCACCCCAGAGCCCCCAAACCAGCGGCAACTCCGACCCTGCACAAAGCATCGAAGGCAAACCCAGGGCAGCAGGCTGGTCCCAGTAGGACTCAGGAGGCTCCGGTGGGGAGGGCTCTGGGCCCACCCCCAACGACTCAGAAGCCCTAGGAGCCCCCAGGAGGGCAAATGTTTGCACCACCCCCTCTTGGCTGGAAAGGAGCTTGGGGCCCAAACTGATGCTCTCTCTTGGGTCATCATGCTTCAGGTCCTTGAAGGCCCAGGAGGCTCGACCCCTTCCCCACTTGGTTGCAGGTGCTTAGCAGAGGATCTCCAGAGGTTTCCTACTAGCCTCCCCTGTATCTAGGTGGCTCCTGAGGTCTGTGGGAAAAATGCAAGAGAAACACAAGGGGAAGGGGCTACCCTCACGAGCTCTGGGCCTATGTGGACCCTCTACGTGATGATTCAGTGGAGAGGCTGCCCTCTACTTTTGGAGAGGAAACACGGGAGGAGTAGAGGTAGGCTCAAACCAGGAATCTAAACTGCTTGGTGGGTACTCATCACAGGGTCCACTGGCTGATGGAAGTAGGATGCAGTTGTCACCTGGGCACCAAGGTGGCCCTCTTGGTCCTCAACGTGGACCCAGTGAGTACAATCAGCCCTCCGTATCTGACGGTTCTACATCCACAGATTCAACTAACCAAAGATCAAAAATATTTGGGGAAAAAAAAATCCAGAAAGTTCCAAAAAGCAAAACTTGAATTTGCCACACGCTGGCAAGTATCTGTGTAGCATTTACATTGTATTTATATCTGTTTAAGTGGCACTGACGTTTTATTAGGTATTACAAGTAATTCAGAGATGATTTAAAGTATGGGGGTGGGGAGGACTTCCCTGGTGGCGAGTGGTTAAGAATCCGCCTGCCAATGCAGGGGACATGGGTTCGAGCCCTGGTCCGGGAAGATCCCACATGCCGCAGAGCCACTAAGCCTGTGCGCCACAACTTCTGAGCCTGCGCGCCTAGAGCCTGAACTCCGCAACAAGAGAAGCCACCGCAGTGAGAAGCCCGTGCACGGCAACGAAGAGTAGCCCCTGGTCGTCGCAACTAGAGAAAAGCCCGCTCGCAGCAACGAAGACCCAACACAGCCAAAAATAAAATAAATTTATTTTAAAAATAAATAAATAAGTAAATAATAAAGTATGGGGGGGAGTGTGCAGGTTATATACAAACACTACGCCATTTTATCCAAGGGACTTGAGCACCCTCAGCTTTTGGTATCCAAGGGGGATACCGAAGGATGGCTGTACACCAGCCACCCTGGGCTCTTACCAGCTTCTGCTCATGTAAGCAGGCGATGCTCATGTGGGTGAGGGTCGGCTCGGCCTCACTTAGGTCAGCAGCACTGCCAGGTAGAAAGGAAATGAAGGTGAGGAGAGCTTCAAGGTCAGGTCCCTGCTCAACTAGGTGGGAAGGCTGTGCTAGGCTGCTTACCTAATACTTCTTCCTTTCTGAAGCAGCGTCCACACTCCATTAGGACCCCGGTAATCTGGGATAGAAGCTGCCTGCAGGTTCAGAAAGGAGATAAGCCCAGTGAAAAGACATCACTGTAGGCACTGGCAGAATTCCCAATAATTTCTCCCAGCACTTTGAGAAGTGCTGGCCCACAGACTGGCCTCAATTCGTTCCTCAGGCTGAGCATTTCCTAGTCTAACCTGTCCTCCCAGATGGAGTGCACCCCCTGTGGCTCCTTCCCTCTGCCAGGACCCCTGCACCCAAACCTGGTCCAGCTCATCCTTCTAGGCTCCAAGGAGCCCTGCCCACCCTGGGAGACTCTCTAGCATGTAGTACAGCCTGGGCTCTGTAACCATGTCTGTCCTCATACTGAGAGGGAGGACTGGTTAGGCTCACTGCATGCCTCCCTCCACGTTCTCACATCCTGATGCTGTAAGTGTTTCCTGGCCTACCTTCACACAGACCAACCTCTTCAATGAGATAAACATTACTGAATTTCCCAAGTTCCCAATCCAGTGAAACAGAGCCACCCCGAGAGAAGAAAACAGACAGTGTGCCAGGATCAAGGTGCCCTGTGCTTCCTGAGGTGTGAGTGACCTCCCTTGTAGGGAGCCCTGTCTCTCTCTTCCCTGTTGCTAAAGCTCAGAAAAATGCCCACCTGACCAGTGGGTCTGACTCACATGGAAAAAGGGAACCTCAAACAGTAACACTCAGAGCAAATTAATGAACAGCAAGTGGCTTTAGTAGCTGCTTACAGTTCTTTAAAAGGTGGTATTACTGCTTTTACATAATGACAAGAGGTCACATGTGCCAGGGCTCCAGGTGTTGATAAGTTAAAGCAGGTAACATACCTCACACATTCTCAGTACTGGGCTTCTTCAGTCATCCCTGTATGGAGTGTCTTACTTCGTAAGTATCTGTAAAATCTTACCCACCCTTCAAGACCCAGACTCAATGCCACCTCTCATAAAAAAACAACCAGATGGGTTTCCCAGCTCTCAGAGACCACAGAGGGCATATCTGGATTTCTATTCTAGCAGCCTAGCACAGCCAGCTTCACATTACAGTCATTTGTTTATATGGTTTATTATCATCACCTACGGACCTCTCCACAGAAATCCTTGCTATTCACCTCTGCTGGACCTACATGTAAGTCACACTCAACTTGCACCCGGCAATTTAACAACGTGCTATCCACACTGTCAAAGCTAGTCACATTCTACCACCCAGGTAGCTTCCTGATAAAACTTATCAAAAGCCAAAGCATTTCTCTTCCTTACCTGATGCACTCTAATGCATACTGCCTTGCACTCCACTTACCTTACTTCAACATTCAGGAGACACAACGAATGGGGAATCACAAGGTAGTCTGGGGTTTAGCTCTGCCAATATAACCTCGGGACAAGCACCAAATTATTACATCCCGTTTTTATCCCTCTTCCTTTCCTGCCTCTAACTGGGAACAATACAAATTTCAAGCATTTAAGAATGTTTATTTACTTAGCGAAGTTCCAAATAGAGTCGTTCTGAGCGTCTCTACGAAAAGAAAGACCCTCAAGAGGTGCTTTTAAGGCGAGCTTTTGCGAATCGGTACTGTTGCTTAACAGAATACGGTGCTCGGTGCTGGGGTCCAACACCCAGAAGGGGGCGCCCCACGCCCGCCCCCGGCGGTCCGTGTTTCGCACAACCTGGGAGCCGACCCGGGGCGCGGCCGTCCCTGCCTCGTCTCCTTACCGTGCTGATCCCCGCGCCCGTGTAGACGACCAGGTGCTTGGCGTTGCGGACGGCGCTAGCCAGCTCCCGGACTTTCCTCCGCAGCTCCTCCGGGTCGTCGCACACCTGCCGAGACGCCGAAGCCGGTCGTGAGCCGGCCCCGGCCCGCCCGCGCCCACGCCCGGCCCGCCCGCACCCCGGACTCGCCTCCTCCTGCCGCCGCTTCAGGCCCTCGCGCCGCCTGCTCCGGCCCTGCAGCTCGGTCACCAGGTCCTCGCTCTCGGCCAGGAGCCGGCCCTCCTCCGCGCTGCGCTCGGCCACCGCCTTCCTCAGGATGCGCGACACCTGCGGGCGCGGGGCAGGCGGTGAGGGCGGCGCGGACTGGGGGCGCGGCGCGGGGCGGGCAACGCCGTACCTGGCGGAGGCGCTCCCTCTGCTGCTCCTCCCGCAGCCTCCGGACCCGCTCCGCCGCCTTGCGCTCCGACCGGCTCAGACCCCCGGCGGCCATCTCTCCCGGGCAGACTCGCGCTTCCGCTTCCGCCTCCCGGCAGGCCGCGCGCCGACACATGCGCGCGAGGCCCACCCCGCCCTTCCGCCCCGCCCTTGCGTCGCCCCAAAGAAGCACCTGCCAGTCTCTTTAAAAGGTGTTTATTGATCATATACAAAATAAAGAAAACCTTATATATCACAAACATACACTATGTACAGCAATAAATACCCGGGGCCCGGCCCAGTGCCGCCCCTCCTGGACAATAATTTAGCAATAAATACTGCACAGGGCAGGGAGGGCGCGAGGCCGACGCCACTTAGGTCAGCCAGAGTGCTCCAGTGGGGCCCCTCCCCACCTGGATCTTCAACAACCCCCGCCCACCCCGGCAGATCCCAGCGTACCCACCCCACCTCCTGTCTTCAGCCCTAGGCAGGGCAGGCAGGGTCTGATCGACACTGCTTCGCCCACCTCTCAGCGCCAGGAGAGCAGCAGAGCTGGACACACTGGACAGCCCTTGTCCTGCTGCCCTAAGATGCCAGGAGAAGGCTTTCTGTACCCACTCCCGTTTGGTTAAAGGCTTCAGATTGAGGGGATGTGGGGAAGGGTGGGGCTGGGACATGAGGCTGTTAGAGGGGTCCCCCTTCACAGGTCATCGGGGACGAGCTCTCCTACACTCTAGCTCAGACTGAAGGGACACCCACGTACCAAGGCTGCTGCTGCAGAGTGGGGTGGAAATGTGTGCGACTGGTCCAACAGGTACAGCACATGCTCAGGACACACAAGCCAGAGCAGGACAAGCCATCAGTCTCGAGGGCACACCCCTGCCTCTTCCCATCTGCTTCAAAACCGGACAGCCAAAAGGAAGGCGAAAACCGGCCAGCAAGAATTATTCAGTGGCTTCTGGGGAAAAAAATCGTTAATGTGTTGGTTCCTTTCACCAAACCACAGCCTAAAAAAGTAACTTAAAAGATCCTAGAGCGGAAACAGTGTTGCAGGCTGTGGCTTCCCAGCTGTGGACGGAAGCTTTGGCCAACCGGCCACCCCAGAGAGGGAAGTCACAGGGACAAGATGGGGCTCGACCACCCATCCCAAAGCAGGCTGCAGCTGATCAGGGCCGTGGGCCCAGCCACCGGCCATCAAGGCTGCTGCTGCTGATCAGGGTTATGCCCAGACCTGAAGCCTGGACCAAGAGTAGAAAGGCCTTCAGGGAGGCCTGGCACCTGGCAGAAACCAGCACACCATAGAGCAGCCACAACTTCTCACCTGCACAAACGCAGTGCCACCTGGAGCAGCAGCCAAGAGCCATGGGGAGCGCTCCCTGGGGCCATACTCTGGGCAGGAGCTGACCTGTTCTCAAAGGGTTCTCCTCTGAAATCTGAGTGTCCATGTTGGGATAGGGAGGAGGTGGGCAAGGGCAAGGTGTGAAGGAAGGTGCACATTATGGTTTACTTAGCGGACAAGTTTGGGAGACTTGGCCTCGGCCAAAGCCCTCAATTCGCTGTGTCAAAAAGTTGAGGAGAGAGAACACAACACACTCACAGTAGGAAAAACTTATTAACGAGAATCAGAAAGACACCAAACAGTCACATGTGGACACAGGATCTACTGTCAATAACCAAAGTGAAGGGGAGAAGGGGCAGAGCAGCCCCAGAGAGACTGGCTTGATGGGAGCAGGATGCTCCCCCAGACCCAAGGAACAGTTGCTCCAAATCCAAAAACCTTGAAAGGTAGTATAGCTTCACTAACTCCAGAAGCGTCCGTAAACCAAACCAAGGACCTGCAATTTCTGTTCAGCACATGCTCATCCTCAAACCCTCCTCTCTCTAGGTCTACAGCATGGCACGGGTACACAGAGATGGAGGACCACCTCCCAGCCAGGATAAAAGTGGGAACCGTACTTGGACACGGGGAGCCTGTCCCTCCCCCTGTCCAGGACAGGGCATGATCTCTCTTTAGGGATTCTTATGATGTGATTCCAACTTGCTGCTACAAGAAACATCAACTACTCTCGTCTGGACCTCAGGTAGACAAAGCCAGACTGCAGGGAGGCAAAGGAAGCCACTAAGTGATTCAGAGTCAATGGTCAAAATCTCCATTGCAGGCCAACCTGGGTACAGCCAGGAATGTCTCTGAATATCTAGGGCCAATATCAGCCCATCAAGACAACAGAAGTTGACAGCACATCCCCCCTCCTATCCCACAGGCACACTGTAAACTCTGGGATGAAGATTCTGCTGTCCACAAGGTTAAACCCTGCCTGGCCACATTGTTTTTCTTTTCATTAGTCCACTTGTCTGTGCCTTTTCAGGGGTTCAGGACCCACAGAGAAGCCAACCAGCAACTCCAAGGAGTAGCCAAGCCCCACACGGCCAGAGCGAGGGCAGTAGCCTCTTGGGGAGCAGGCACCACAGGCAGCCCCATCACATGCCTACGAGCAGCTGCCTGAGACAAGTCTGGGAGACTTGGCTGCCTCACCGAGTGGCCAGGACGGGGAGGTGGGCTCAGCCCCGGGGAAGCACCTCCACAAGCCAAGCAGTGGATCCCTGGAAGACACAGACCCCAAAGGGAGTTGAAAGAAGGCCCATAGCCAAGAGCTGCCAGCATGTTCAGGGGGAGAGGGGGGACAGGACCTGGCCCTGGAGACCGTAGCCCTTGTCTGGCACTGGTGGAGACCCCCAGGCCCTCAGGCAAGGAGAAGGGGCTGCCCCAGGTGGGTCCCGAAACCACCTGGTTCTGCCTGGGAAGCACCGTCCCGCAGCATGGAAACAGTTCTGGGATGAGTGGGCCGCGGGCCCCTGGGGTTCCCCTGCTGAGGCCCACACAAAACCCACCGGAACAAACCCCAGATTGGTGGCTAGAACCCAAACACACTGACTGGAGGCCAGAAGGAAGACAGTCGGGGGCAGCTTGGCCCTGGCCTGGCAGGCACCCACAGTGACTCCTCGGTCCCTGCAAGCCCCCACACAGGGCCAGAGATGGTGGGCAAGGAAGTAGTGAGGGGGCGGGAGGGGGGCCCAGGATGACCCCCAGTTTCACCTACCCTGCCACTGGATCAGCCCAAGCCTGAGACACACATGCGAAACCAAGGGTCAGCAGAGGGGTGTGGCAGAGCCCTGCATCTGACCCCCCGGGGGCTCGGGGTGGGCGCCAAAGCAGAAGAGGCTGGGCTGGAGGCACAGACACCCCAAGCTCCACTGACGCAGGCGCAGCCTGGCACTACAGCCCAGGCCTGACAAGCCAGCAGAAGCAAAACCACAACGAAATCCAAAAAACAAACACGGGAGAACAGACACAAGAAGTGACACCCACAGGTCAAAGGTCACCAGAAGCACCAGCACGTGACGCTGCACAAGACCTCACCAGGCACAGACAACACCACGGCACCGGCAAGAGACGGAAGCAGGAAGGGCAAAGGAGTAAGTCACTTTCGGTACAATTGCAAAAGAGATAGCAAAGAGGACGTCAGGACACGCCTTCTGGTCGCTCACGGCTTGGCTTTTTTTTTGTCTTTTTTTTAAACTAAGTTTTATAAATAACGTCTGATAACTCTGTGTATATAAAAACTAAACTTCAACAGCCACAAAGACTTGTCTGTAAGTTTACAAGAAAGGATTTTTTTTTTCTTTTTTTAAAGTAGCAAAGTTTCTATTATACTTTCTTCCCTTTTCTGTTTATACGGTCAAATGTTCTCGCTTTTTTTTTTTTTAAAAAGACAGTTTTATAAATACTCTGCAGCTTTTTTTTTCTTTAGCTTTTAAACATATAATTTAATAACTTCGTAAAAGGAACTTCTCTCTTTTAAATAAAGGGCTATGTAACCACACAAATAGGTCATGTAAACAGTGACACGGGACCCATCGCAGGACACTGGACACACCCTTCACGTACGCTCACAACCAGTGATTTGGTCTTGTTCAGTGCAACACGTCAGGTGTGAGTGCCAAGGCCCCCGGCCCACAGCCACACGACACCCCATCCCCCCCAGCGCCAGACCAGTGGCCCGCCTGTCCAGGGCCCTCAGGGACAGCCTACTCTGCAGAGCAGTGCCTATCTATGCCTGCAGGCCGAGCTGAGTGAACTGCCCAGCCCCCCTCCGCTAGCCTGGCGGCTGTCAGAGCCTATGGGCCATTCTGCAAGGAGAACAGCCTCTCTCCTGCCCTGCAGCCCTCCCTGCTCAGGGACACATGTGCCCCAGAGCACCCGGTCAATCTTTCTCTCTGTCCACTCCCACAGGCCGACTCTGGACTCCAAGCCCACCTGCTCCTGGTACAAAGGGGGCGGGGGCGACCCCACGTCACCACCAAACTGACCAATCCCAACGTACAAAACACACGATGACAACGACGAGATCAAAGGGGCTCAGCCCGGCGCCCCTGGGGTGCAGGTTGTGCTTTGCAGGGAAGGGAGGAGGTAGGAGAGGAGGAAAAGAAGAGAAGAGGAGAAAGAGGAGGGAGGGAGAAGGGGACAGGGCTGCTGAATTTGCCATGCGCCTACTGGCCCCTTGCAGACCCGCCTGGGCAAGCGCGTCCCTACGACCGGGCGTCCGTCTTGGACTTTACTATCGTGATGACGCTGGTGGCGGCCACCTTGCCGGGGACGAGGGGCCCCAAGCCAGCAGCAAGGGGACCCCGAGCTGGCGCCACAGGGCTTCGGGCCACGGTCCTGGCGAAGTTCTGCAGGGCCTCGTACTTGGAGCGCAGGGCATCGAGCTCCAGCTTCATGCTGGCGTTCTCCGAGGCCAGCTTCTCCACCTCCTGCTGCAGCTCTGCCTTCTGCTTCTCCAGCTCCTCCTTCTGGGTCACCCGCTTCACGCGGCAGCTGGCGGCATAGCCGCGGTTCTTGAGCGTGCGCCGGCGCTGCTTCAGCTGGATGATCTCCTCCTTGGACAGGCCCCGCAGGTGCTGGTTCAGCTCCCGCACTGACATGGTCACCAGCTCCTCATCTGTCAGGCTGGTGCCATTCTCTCCCGGCTCCCGCTTCACCTGGGGAGGGCATAGCGCACGAGGTCACAGGCCAAGTGGGGGCAGTCTGCCCCTGTGCCACC